CCATACCACCCACACCCTCCATACCACCCACACCCCCCACACCACCCATACCTCCGGTACCACCCACACCTCCCGTACCACCCACACCTGCTCTCAGCAGGCCTCCCAGGCCGGGGACCCCCATAGCAGCAAAATGACGGGAAAAGCCGTGGCCCCTGGAGCTGGCCTGTACTTCGCCTGCGAGGCAGCTGCAGGACAAGTTTATTACTATAATTGAGATACGATTCATGGAACACAGTTCACCATTTTAAAGTGCAGAATCTGGCCTTTAGCACATTGGTGGTGTTGTGCAGCCACACCCCTCACAAGTTCTAGAATGTTCTCATCCCCGGAGGAGGCCCCGCCCATGAGCCGATGCAGTTCTTGTGAGCCTCAGAGAGGTGTTTCAGGTGTACCCTGCACCGCATGGCATGTCCAGGGTCAGCCCCATGAGCCCTGTCCCACAGGTGTCGAGGTCACAGCTGTGACCTAGGAAGCCATGGGAGGAAGTCAGGAGAATAGGGTGGGAGTCTGCAGAAGGTCAGCAGGCCTGGTGGTCCCCAAGGCTCCCACCCACTCTGAGACCCTGGAGGAGCTGTCCAGATGGCCCCGGTCGCCCTAGGGTGGCAGGCCAGGGAAAGGGCAGGGAAGGTGGTAGTGGGGGCCGGGCCGTGTGGACAGAACGGAGGCTGCCTGGCAGGACAGGTGGTAAGTTCCATGCCTGTGTCCATCAGGTCCGCCAGCGCGCTGCCAGCCTCCTGCAGGAAGCCAAGGCCCAGGCTGCACTGGTGCTGGAGAGCCTGGAGGCTCGGCAGGAGTGACCGCTGGTGGGCACGAGACGGCAGGAGACCTCCCTGGACGGCATGGCCTTCAGCAGCCCTCCCTTCCTGAGGGACCCCAGCTCCTTGGGACAGAGTTCCACACGGCTCATCCACGTGGGGTCAGGAAACATGGGCAGAGGCGAGCAGTAGGGCCAGGGTTTGGGCAGGCCTGTCCTGGTCTCTTGTGAACCAGCAAACTGTCACTCTTGGTCACCTGTGGCCTCAATAAAGTCTGAACTCCAAACCTATGTGATGTGTTTGGGTTTGGGGAAGGGGTCCCATGGTCAGCGAGTCCCGAGGTGACAGTCCCAGTCCAAGGTCCCTAGACTGGGAGGCTGTGCCCAGTCCCAGGAGGCTCAGGCCAGTGCAGGTGCCTGGGACAATGTGGCAGGACCTTCAGGGACAGGCCCAGCCGGGGGCTCCTCCTCAGCTGTCTGCTGAGCCCTGACAGGTGACTTCAGCACAGAGCGCGACAGTCCCCGCAGCTGTCTGGCTGGGTGCAGCCTTCCTAAGCTGGGCAGGGAGCCCTCTGAAATCTAGACCCTCCTTCTCAGGAAGTCACCAGCACCCTAGGACATGAGAAGGGAGAAGACGTCCGTGGCCTCATGAGCCACAGGGACACAGGACTCTCCTGCAGACCAGGCCACAGGGATCAGGTGCTGGGGAGGGCAGCCTGCCCCTGCCCCTGACAGGGAGGCGGGAGGCTGGAGGGGAATGCAGTGTCCGAGGGGAAGGTACGGTGTCCCCCGGGTCCTCTAGGTCTTGACATGCTGTCCAGCTGGGTTGAGGGCTCCTGTCCGTCCCCTCCCACCACCCCCAAACTCCTGCTCAGCTGCAGCCCCCCGTGGCCTGAACCTTCACCACAGGAGGACCTCAGGAGGTCAAGTGCGGTCTGCATGGTGGAGCGGGACTCAGGGAGTCAGAGACAGCAAGATTCTCTTGGGGAAGCAGCAGCGAGGCCTTGGCCCAGGGGCCAGCGTCCCCAGGGGGCAGGCGGCCAGGGCTGGACCATTGTGGGCCAGCTCCCTCCCATCCTCCCTCTGTCTTGCCACAGTTCTGGCCCCTGCCTTCCTGCACCCCTCGCTCGCTTCTCTTTTGAGACTCGGTATTTTTTCTATCTCGGGAGTGGATCTCCTTCCCTCTGGCATGTGGGCTCCTCTGGGGGACGTGGTGCCCACCAGGGCCAAGTAGAGTGGAGACCACGAGGCACCACACCTGTCCTTCATCTCCTCGACGTGGGGAGAGTGGGTGCATGGGGCTTGGCCCTCGTGATGTGGGGGCTGCCAGGCAGGTTGCCGGGTCAGGCCTGTTGCTGGGAATGTCCAGTGGTCAGCCCTTGAAGACTCATTAGAGATGCACAGACCCCCTAGGCTTCTACCCCACAGGATCTTAGGGTGGGGTGCCCAAGCACAATGGGCTTGGCCAGGGCTAGGCTGAAGTCTCAAATCAGGGTTACCCCGTGGCCAAGGGCACAGGGCACGGGGCAAGCCTCAGCCAGGAAAGGGCATGGGGACCTGACCCTAGACCTCAGTGGGCACACCTAGGCCTTCACACCTGCTGCCCCAGGGCCCTCGTGCCCTGTCTAGGCAGGAGGGGCTGGGCCAGCCCAGATGCTCACAGAGGGCCTTGTCGGGTCAGTAACCAGGGTCACGACTCCCACTGTCCCCAGGCTCCCTACTGCCCCTGGCCCCACTTGTCCCATGAGGCTCCCACTATACCAGGAGTCCTCATGGGCCCTCTGTCTCCCAGGGCTCCTGCTGTCCCCACAGAGGCCAGGGGTTTCCACTCTTGGGTGCACCCTCTGGGCACAGTGGCTGCAGGTCCTGGTCTCAGTCTCTAACCTTTGGCCTCTGGTCTCTCTCAGGCCACATCCCTGAACAGCTGTAGGCTGAGCACAGTGACCATGGGTCTGTCTGCTGCTGCCAGGCAGTGGGTCCAGGAGCCGGGGGAACAGGGCGGAAGTGGAGCCTGTACCTGGGGATGCATGGAATGTGGAGGGGCCTGCGTCCCCTCATGGAAGGTCCTGCCTCGTCAGGGCCACCTTCCCCTCCTCTTCCTGGGCCAGGAGGGCCTGGCCTGCTGGGCAGCAGGGATCCACCAGACCCCACGGCGTGCTCCACTGTGACTTTCTCCACCTGTTCCTTGACTGAGTGACCGTGGGGAACAGGGTGCCTCTGGCACTTGGATGCTGGGAGATCGGGGGTTTGCTCTGGAATGATCTGGGCAGGAGGCTGCAGGGCCAGGCTGCAGGGCCTCCTGTGACAGGAGGGAGGTGGCTGTAGGTTGCTGGCTCCTTCCAGCCGTGGGCTCCCTGGGGAAAGCGCCTGGGAAACCCTGGCCATGCCGACTTGGCCCCAGGGTTAGGAAGGCAGATGTGGCACCTGCCCCAGGGAAGGGCTGTGTCCAGCGCCGGGGGCTGGGAAGACTACTGCCTGTCACTGGTTTGGAATTTGCAGGGGCTGTTTGTAGCTGGGGGTGCAGGGGCTGCAAGAACCTCACCACAGCCCCAGGGGCCCTGCATCACCGCTAGGTGCGAGCCCCAGGTTCAAACGTGGGTCCCATGAGGAGGGGACGTTTGGGGCCTTGGGGGCTCTGGGAGGGCCAGATGAGGATCCATTAACTCAAGCCTCCATTCCCCTGAGCTCTGGTGCTGACGGCGGGCAGAGAAGGAGTGCCTCCTGTCCTGGCTCCCCTGACCTGTCCCTCTGAGGCTTCTTCAGGCTGCACACAGGGCTCAGGGACTGGCCTCCGAGGGCAGACCAGCAGAGGCTGGCGTGGGCCTTCCCACCAAGCTGCTTTTGCTTAGTGGCAGCCCTCCTCCACAGAAAATCTGGGTTAAGCTTCTCTAGAGACCCCCACCACCTGTGGAGACAGCGGGAGGAGAAACACTGACCTGAGCTTCCACAGGGGACTTGCATCTCAGTCAAGTCCTTGAAGGGCACCTGGCGAGAGAAAGAACAAGAGCGCTCTCCTTCCCAGGCACTGCATCCACAGAGAAGGGACAGAGCGTCCCTGGGTTGTTTCTGTAAAACTTGGCCTGAGCTGGGAACGAAAAGAGGGAAGTCCTGTTGCCTGTGGACCCCCGACCCTCCCCGTGCACTGGGTGCAATGTTCTGGAACTTCCTGAACTCGGGAGCAGGGGATGCATTGATCATAGTGAAAGCTTTTTCCCTCTGAAGCTGGGTGCAGCCAAATAAGTCTGCTTCCTGGTCATTCCTTGGTGTCATATCTCTGTCCCTACAGCTTTGCTACTTCTCAGGCTCGAACCCGAAGTCTGAGCAGGGCCTGGGCTGCAGGAGAGCCCCGGCTGGGTGACCAGCAGGAGCGTGGGAGGGCTGGCTGGACAGGCAGCAGAAGCGGCGGCCCCACAGGGGTGAGGCCCGGGCTGCCCCCACTGTGGAGGGAGAGGTGACGGCAGAGGTGCCAGGAAGCTGGGCCCTTGGGATATTCCTGTGAGCCTGCTCCAGCAGGGAGAGCTTGGCCCAGGGATGTGCATGTCCAGGCCACATGCTCCCCAGCCACCACGGCAGAGGTCTGAGGCACACGAGTGGGGACCTGGGAGAGACCTGGTGGCGAGGGAGCTGTGACTGGAGACGTGGTGAGCAGGTGCAGTATGGGTGCTGAGAGCCTGCTGGTGCAGAGAAGCTGGCGAGGGTGGCTGTGGGGAGGCTGGTGGGAGGTTGGCTGGGGACATGTGTGGGGGAGGTGAGTTAGGTGGGAGGGTGGGGGATGCTGGGGGAGGTGAGGAGGAAGCTGTGGTGGGGACCATGTGAGGGGGCTGGGCCAGCTCCAGAGGTCAGTGGAGCTTGGTGGCAGCCCTGCAGGAAGGCTTAGCTTGGTAGGTTGATAGGCTGTTGGTGAGGCCTGGTGTGGCAAGGCGGCACTGGGATGGCCACTGGCAGGTCCCTGGAGGAGGGGCCTGGCTGGGATGTGGTGTTTGCAGGGAGTCGGGTGCTTGGTGGGGGGTGTGCAGTGGTGCTGGCCGGTGATGACCCGGGCTGCCCGTGGGTGGATTTGGATGTGATGCTCAGGGGTGGGATGTGGTCGTCTCCTGTGCAAACTGACGGTTCCCTATGGAACCTCCCGGGGACTGAATGAGAGACCTGGAGTCTGAAATATCCCAAATCACCCAAACTGCACTTCTGTCTGGCCATCCCCTGCTGCCCACCTCCTCTTGTCCACCCATAGCTTGCCCTCCTCCAACCGTGGGTGTCTGGAGCCCCCCGTCCTGGCTTGGGGCCGGGAGAGGTCAACCTAGTGCCAAGTGGCAGGGCGCAGTCTCGCTGAGGCTGGTGGCTTGGGGAGGGAACATGTGGCCAGTGCCTGTGGCAGTCCCTGGACACGGTGCCTGTGGGGTGTGTGCACAGTGTAGTTTCAGGGCCTGGAAGAAGCCCTGAAGGTGTAGCACATAGCTGGTGGGGCCAGCCGGCACAGACACTGGGGGATGGCGGCAGCAGGGGGTCCAAAGCCTTTATTGGACATGGACAGGGACTCTCGGGTGGGCTCATGAGCTCAGGGGTGTGGGCAGGTGGTGACCAGGCCCTGGCAGGGCTGGAAGAAAGCTCTTGGAAGGGGAGGGGAGGCAGGGAGGCTGAGAGGCAGTCAGTGGACTGCAGGGTGCCTCTGAGCTGGCGGAGGCCTTGAGGGCAAGGTGTGCGCAGGACAGATAGACAGGAGGGGCCTGGGAGCTGCAGGTGGGAAGGGCCTGGGGCCAGAGGTCCTCCCATCCCGACCTCCTTGGGAGAAGGGGCTCTTGCCGGTGGGAGAGGCCTCTAGCAAGCAGTCCAGCTCCCCTGGGGACTGCTGTCTGAGTAGCACCATGGCCGGGGAGGACAGGTGGGCTGCCGCTGGCAGTGCTAACAGATCCAGCGGATGAACCTGTCGAAGAAGCCGGGCTGCACCAGGCTGTCAAAGTCCTTCTCCCGGAAGATGGCCGACCTGTCGCCCAGGCTGATCTTGTGCAGCACGTCCATGTCCACATCGCTGCCCACGGCCACCACGGTGGGCACCACGTTCTGCTTGCGCATGGAGTGCACGGACTCCTCCAGGCTGGCGTTGCCGGTGACGCCGTCGGTGAGGAACACAAAGGACAGCTCCGCGTGGCGCCGCGCCCCGCCCTGCGCACCCCGCACCACAGTGTTGATGGCGTGCACGATGCCTGTGCCCACGTGGGAGAAGGAGTTGAGGTAGCGCAGGTCCTGCAGAGCCTCGTGGATGACCGTCAGGTTGGAGGTCAGCGGGAAGGCCA